AAAGGACAGATATTATGTTCTATAAATGTATTTTTATAAAACACTTTTAACAGCTTAAGCAATAATATATTACATAAGTTATTTAAAATATATAATTTAACAACGTTCATAATATCAAAATCAAAAAAGTAATAAATGTCATTTAAATAAAACACTTTAACGGTTTAAAATGCGATATATTAGTTTGCGGCCCGACGTTTCGGATGCTTTGGAGCAGCCCCGTAACCACGGCTGTCTGTGGTCACGGGGCAAGTATTTTACATTTTTCTCAATTCAATATTACGTTTATTAATAATAAGAATTCACCGTTCACCCGGTTTGTATCGAAGCCATGACCCATAGGTCATATACACTGCTGCTGGACTCAGGAGTTCGTCAAAACACACTTTTTAGAGTGTTAACGACCGTTGTTGTAATATTGATCTTTAATTTATTATTCCTTTGTATTAAGATTAATTCCTAAAATAGATTTTTTTTTTTCATGAAACAACAAAAGCAGGTACTGCGTTTGTGTGAAAATTACGATTTGCATGATTTCTGGCTAAACAGATTTTGGAAACGATAACTTTTTTGACATATTAAGCATCCCGTACTGATTCTTAAATATCTCTTAATAAACTATAAATACTTAAATAATCAAGTCATTGAAAGTGAATTTTATTACAGATTAAAAAGCAAAAACAGGAAAATAATCGGTCATTTTACGAATAAGTCTTAATTAAAACGTTTTGCATATCCCTAACTACATATTTCGTCATTATTTTAACCCAATTAAGGCAATGCAACTACACGACGTAATTAACTCAATGCAAGCTTAAAGCGCCAACAAAAACTAATGAAGAAATCCAATCATTAATTCATACGAATTAACGCGTATGGATTGCGGGCGTATTAATGAATATAATCATTAATCATTACTGATCAAAGTGACCCGCGCTACCTTGACTGCGTGCGTTTCAATTTTGGTAACGATAAGAACGAATCGACAAAAATACTGTCTGTAGTTAACGCCAGTAGTACACAATTAAATAAAACACTTTAACGGTTTGAAACGCAATATATATTAGTTTAACTTATTTGAAACTTATTTCAACTGCGATTCGGCGTTTCGACAGTCGATAGTCTCCCCGTGACCATGGCTGCTGCAAAGCAGAAATCCGAAACGTCGGGCCGTAGTTAAAAATTTTGAATAAGTTTAGCTAATATATATCGCGTTTTAAACCGTTAAAGAGTTTTATTAAATCGAATCGAACAAATCTTTTTTTAAATTAATAAACAGCGCATATTAATGAAACAGTCGTGACATTATGATTTCCATAATTAGACGGTTCTTTTATACAAGTCCTTTGAAGTCCGATTTATGACCCTTAAAATTACGCATCTTATTCCCTTTAGCGATACGTCAGTATTGAATTGCCTTATACGCTTAATACAGAAATGAGTCACTCGGAGCACAGTTTACGAACAGTCGGGATTAGGTCAATATCAAATGAAATTATTCTTAGCAAGTTTATTATTAAAAGTCTGTCAGTAGTAGGTAAATCATTGGTTATTAAAGACATACATCCATAAACAATACACAAAAATAATGAATATTACGATTTTATATGATGTTGTTGATTGTACTGATTTTCTCGGCTGATTACGTACCTGCGACTATTTTATTTTAAGTATTGCATTTATAACACGTTTTAAATAAATCACTTTGGTTATTTAAATTTAAAATCACGAAATATATTACTTTACTAAATGTCTATGTATTTTAACTGGGGTCTGAAATCTCGGATGCTTTGCGAAAAAATGTATACATACACTTACATTTTTATATAAGGTTTGATCAATTTGTTCCTATATGTATATTTGCAATTACTAAGAGCAACTGTTACAAATACACTGTGCCGTCGTTATAAATCGTCTTTTTTCCAGTTCAACCATAAAGCACTGTGTTTACGACAATGAGACTCGGACTCCCACGTGGCTTCGAATCTTGGTCAAGTACATTATGCATATTGACGTAAGAGCTATCGAGTTGAAAGACGTCTTCAAAAGTGTTCTTGATCTCTTGGACTGGTTAGATATAAGAAATGATTACTTTGAGGAGAGCAAAAACACTTCAAATGCATACACGGTATAGGTCTATACCTAATCATCATTTATATTAAATACATGTTCTTGCAACTAAAATTACATAAAAGCTGAAAATAAGTATTTTAAAGTAGGTACGAGTATTACTCGTTAAAATTGAGAATATTAAAAAGCTCTAACCATTGGGCTATTGTGTATTTTTATAAAACACATCCTTAATTTATATCATTTTCAGTAACAATACCAAGTACAAAAATATTAAAGTCGTCTCACGAACGCCCTTTCGAGATTTGTGTAATAAAAAAATAGGATCTCATAAATCTAAACTTTAATATTCAAGTGGTATACCGTGTTGGATGCATTCCTCTAATCCCACGCGTGGGATAATATAATAAGATGTTTTAGTTAAGTGATCTTCGGCGCCTTTACGCCCACAAAATTGATAATGGTGCAAATTATAGGCGTTATGTTTGACATTGAGCGAACTAAAAACTTATCAAGGTTCCGTATCCTTTGTCCTAACACTTTCATGTCTGCCTTTTTATGATAGAGCAGGCCAGAAAAGCATTTGTTTCACTTGATGGAAGGTCAAATACCTACGCCAGTCACATAACGTCTCAACTAGATGCGCTATTTACCTATTTCTTAAAATAGGTAAATAGCGCAAGTTGTATATTCGGAACTCCACAGACTGATACCTAAACGCGACTAAACTTCACGGCCTTTTCTTCTATGGGCGGTGGGTGGCGGTATTTAATATTCAGATTTTGCAGATAAAGTTCAACGTATTTTAGAAAAAATATTTACTGGTTCGATCCGGTGGGGATCGCCGTCACTAAAACAAAGTCAAAAATTATGTTCTCCCATACAAAAAAGAACACAATATATTAGTAAATAAAACAAGGTATAATATGAAATTTATGTAAGTACCTAATTAATGCTACGTACGCAACCGTGTTTCAACTCGGACTTGACCAGTTCTGTTTATGGATATCGTAAAGTTCGTTACCCGGAAAATGACTAAAAAATAAGCCCGTATTCAAAGGCTAATATGAACAGCCAAAAAACCGTTAACGGTGTACGAGATAAGAACTAATGTACATATTATTCCTTATCTCTCCTTAAATACATAACTTACGTTTCTAACTGTGCTTGAAAATTAGAAGTAATTTATACTAATATTATAAAGCTGAAGTGTTCTTTGAACGCACTAATCTCAGGAACTAGTTCGAATTGTGTTAAAACAATATTTTTGTGTTGGTTAGAGCATTTATTGAAGAAGGCTACAAAATATAATGCTGCGACAAGTAGGAGGGAACAAACGTGAAAAATGTGGAAAAGGGGAAAATTATTCATCTTTGAGGGTTTCCGATTCAAAAAACGGTTCAAGATACCGAAAGAATATGTGCAAAGATTTATTCTTATTTAAATAATTAAAAAAAAAATACTGTGAAAATACCTACCTATGATATCTTAAAGTATCGGCTCGTAGTTAGAAATAAATTAAGACAAATATTTTACGTTTTGACCCGTTAAAAGCGTTTTTTATACATAATATCATATATCCTTTTTAGTTTCGCCACACTATATTAATTAATAATAAAATTAGTAAATACATGAATATTCAATTTCAGCTTACAAATTAAGCTAAAACGTGAAATAGCACTTTAATTATAATCGTTTCAGCGCAAGCGCACAATTATTCACGTCGCGCAAACAAAGCGTCGGCATTTTTAAACGAAATGGCGTAATAAATAAATCTGCAAACAGCCCGTCGATAGTGTACATAATCTCTTAATCACAGTATGAGTCTGCATTAATCAAGTTCAATGTCCCGGTTTATCTATTGAACTATTAATAAACCAGTCCAAGTTAAAGAAGCGTGCGATTTTAATATAAAAAACTAAATACAAAATCGCTTCATTTAATATATCTCTCTATCACTGTTATGTCTTGTGCCACGATGTTTATTTTTAATATAAATAATGTATCATAACTCTTTAGTTCTCCCTAGTACACAAAGTTGTCATTTGACAAAAAGGTTTGATCACATTGTGCTTGTTACCTTTTCTTTTCAAAGCTTTTTTCTTGAACTGCTAGTAAGACTAATATATCTAAAACGTTTTTAGCAATTTTAAATCAGATAATATATAAAATGAGTACATTTCTAACATACCACAATAATCTCATCACGAATCTTCCACAAATTCAAGATTATTTTTTTACTATCTATAATGGAATTGGCATTATGAATGTCTGAATTTGAAATGTACTCTCATACAATTTCTTAATTAAACATATATAATGACTTCGTAACAAAAATGTGTTCAAAATACACTGATAACCCAAGGAATTCAAGAGGATCTCACTTAAACCGGTCCATATTTGGCAGCTATCCAAATCCTCGGGTCCCGCTGAGTACACAGCGTGCATTGTAAATTAAAATTATCACAACAACTAACTCCACGGAGATTTGCGTATTATGAATTTATGGTCAAATATCAGCAGTACTCGCCTAATAAAACAGAGTTTTAATGATCATAACATAAATGTAAATTCATATTCAACTGAAAAAAAAACTTTTAAATCCACGTATCATGAGTTAGTTTGAAGTATACAAGAATGGTTCATAAATTGTTGTATTTAACGGTTTTAAATACATCATATATTTGTTATTTATCTTGATATTTAACACCTGATGTTTTTGATGCCTTTATTAATGGTTTTACAATTAATATTTTAAGATTTTTGGCATTAACTGTGTCAAAATGTTACTATTTTAAGAGTCACGTTCTTAACCTTCCTTAATCCTTGTTACATATTTTTTAAATATTAAATCTCATTACATATTAATGAAATATTTAAGTAGTAATAAAATATAGGAATACGTTTTATTTTATTTTTCTTTGTTCTAGGTGATATCGAAGACTGCATTGTAACGCCGGCTTACCAAGGCCAGTTCACTCCTTTACCTGAAGCATTGTGTGATTGTATAATGGACCTTACCTCGCAGGTAATAAAGACCAAGTTATAGGTAGGCAAAACAGGTGTCATCTTTAAAAACGCGAGTAATTGTTGAAAAATTGTATGCTAAGTATTTGAGCAATCTTAAATGATCTTTGAGAATTTCAAGAATTTAAGTTCTGATAATGTAGGATGATACCTTTAATAAGTAAGCAAACCGGCATTTTGCATTTCGTCGGCAAAGTGCCGTTGGTCGTGCCTAATACCAGACTATCGGCCATGAAAAAATATTAAAAATACCGGTTACCAACATCCAAATTCACATGTGCATATCGGTGGTCCAAAATTTGCTTTTTCCGAACGCTATAAGCGTCTATAATGATCTAATTTTGAAACTGAACTCTGCCCAAACTAAGGTTATGAACTAATACACATTTATTATATAGGTAAAAGCTAAGATTATAGTCTAAAATCAAACCGTGTTGTTTTATGATGGATGTCATAATAAGCTTGCCTTGACCAAGCTGTCCATAATAAAAATATAGTAAATTAACATCTGCTTCCAACCAGTAAAAGTCGCGCTACAAGATAAGCCAGACATACTTTTTTATATATTTATATTACTAATGTATTCTTCAATATTATTATATATTTTTTATATGTATATAGGCACGCAGCGGTTTATATAAACGCTTCCGCTTATGCCTTACAAACGAAATTCTTACGGTGGTCATTTGCGGTCCATCCCTAAATAACTATGCCGTGATGTAAGTTTGCTAATTCCGAATATAACTACATGTTTGGAACTTTGGTATGAACTTATACGATGATCAAACTAGGTACATATTCGATTTTCAGTTCTGTTGAATCAGTAGAAATTAAATGAAAGCTGGTATTTTTAAACTTAATTACACTGATTTTATTGTTGTTAGCTTTTACTTGTAAGTACCTACGTATGCGCTAACGTTAGTTTTCCTTGAACGTGTGATGTAAACATATTCTTGTGTCTGTTTACTCGATTTTATTGACATAAAGCTCAATTCTGTGGCCTGTACAGCCACGAGACCCTATTATATTTTTATGGGTTACAGATGCTAGGAAAATCATTTCCCCACGCTTAGTGGTCCCACTGGTGGTAATTATCTATTAATTGGCACTAACATTTCCTTTAGCATGACATAATAACATCGCATGTAATTCGGCACAAGTTTTTTACCTCAGTGTTTATTATTGAAAAGATTTTTTTTACTCTTAAGTAACTGCTTTAAAACTCTAAAGACCAAAACCGTCTAGTTTACTAAATGTTTGCCTGATTTCAATAATTTCCCAACAGTTTAGACTTAGCAAGGTGCAACTCTACACCTACTCCAAGACAACTTAACGTCGCGTGCTTATTACCCAGTTCAAAAGTGTCAGCAATAAATAGCAAAATATGATTTAATGAATATTCAAAGTATCCGAGTGCCGTAACACGTTACAATTTGTCAATTTTGTAACGTTTTGCAACGATTGTCACAATAGAATGTCGTCCAGTTAGTGCAGGTTCGCTGAATGTGGGTAGGCAGGTATTGATGGCACGTTTATTATCTGTGACATGTGTCCGAATAAATTAGATGTTTATGATTATATTCTTTAATTATTATATAATTGTAATTATGCGATATTTGTCACCTGAAAAACGGAATTTTATAAGCTTATTATTTTATAAGTTTTCAGAGAATCAAAGCTAATCTAAAAAGTAACTAAGTTTATGTTATAATATTAAATGAAGTTGGTCCAGACTTGTATTTAACAAATTTAAATAAATTTGTTAAATACAAGTGTGTTTGTATGCTTGTTAACACTAAATTGTCTCTTACGTTGTTTCTCTATAATCTGTCTTTTGCATTCTCGTGTAGTATTATAGCGTTTTCGTTAATAAGGAACTATTGGGACCCAATTTAAGATACATTAAAACTATTTATGCACCTTTTCCTAGTATCCAACGCACTTTACCGTATAATGTCTGAAGGCCGTCCATAAAATATAGATAACAAGGTACTGTTACTGTGTTTTATCCTTTGAAAGTGCTTTTATGTCGCAAAGCTCTTTCAAAATTGCCTTTTTTATAGAGATATTTCAAATTGCTTCGCGCTTGACGTCACATAATGTTAGCGGTTCATAGCAAATTTTATACAGTTTTGAATTAGGTATCTAGATTACATTTTCAGTTTGAGTAGATATTAATATAATGTAAAAATATAATTTATTAACAGCGCGATATTTACCGCAACCTCTAGAGTTTCTAGGTTCGAATCCCATAAAAATCTCCTTAAATAGATAGGACACAAAAATATATCTATACTAGCTTATGTACACAATTGCTAGAATCTAGTGCAAGTAAGCAATACTTTTCTAGATTCTCTCTTCTATGTAATCCGTTAATCACTTTTCAGTTTCAGTCTGTAGATTCCAGAATATTCGAAGTCAAAACCCTATTTTCTTGAGATGTTGACTAGGGTATTTTCGAGTACCTTCCTTCGAGTGAAACCCGTGTCTGTCCTCCTTTATCGTATATATATATATATGCGATATATCACAGATAATATAATTTAGATTAGAATTGCCACAGCGATTGTCCAAACCACCTTACTCCTAACCGATTTGTGTCAAAAAGGTCGTTGCGAAACTGTTGATAACAAGATCTATTTCAAATATGCAGATATATTCCGTCCTTAGCACAGAACGATTTTATTGCGCCGATAAAACAATCGATCATATCTCTGGTCTTGTTCCGAAGAATTCTCAGCCTGGGAATTGTTTTACATTATTCAATTGATTATTGCTAAAAGCTTATATTAACCGAGCCTGCAATAATAAATAAGAAGTACAGAAATTCTTTTACGATTCTGTATTAAAAATTTCACGTGTTCGTTATTTTAGCTAGCTTTATGTTAGTAGCTTACGTAAGTGGAACCTACTAAATGACAATTAACGGTTTTAAACGCGAAAGATTAACTAATTAATGTGACTTAATTTATTTTTAAATACCTTTTGTATTGCAATAGATGTGTGCAAAAGAAGAGAGACGAAGATATTTTATATTAATATGCATGTTGTGAAACTTTAGTACTTACTTCATTTTATCTATAGACAGAATTTAAATCTTACTGAAAGATTTACTCAATTGTAATTCGAATATTTTTATATAAAACATATAACATCGTCGTTAAAAATTATTCGTCTATCGCGTTTTAAACCGTTAATTGTGTTTATGTGTAAATTTACTACACTTTTCTGTTTGCCATTCACACTACTCGTGTGAATGGCAAACAGAAACAAAATATGATCAAAATATCATGGAATTGTAATATTATTGTAACTTAAATAAAAAAAATGTATAACATAACAGGATTTCGTAGACGGCATTAATGTTTATATACTGTAAATCAAAGTAAATACTTAAATTGTCTATGGAAATTCTTGAAAATTTTATGATCTGTGTGTCTATATAAGGCAATCCACTTCGCCATATAAGCATAAAATTTAATAGAATGCAAAATTCAAATGCAAATTTAATTCACAAACCGGGAAATACCGGTCCATAATATTTATCACACGATAGGTGCACGTCCTATAAATCTTTTGAAGGTCGCCATTTGAGATATATCCTGCTTCAAGATAAGATTTCTTTGATTGATTTAACTGCGTAATTCGATAGTTTATTGCGTCCGCGCAGCTTTGTTTTGACCAATATCTTTGATCGATTGACTTTTTGTTATTCTTAGATCTGCTACGCAACTTATTGATTTGATAAATGACCTGGGAGTCTTAGAATAAAAAAAAGAAAAGATAGACAACCTTTACTTATTCTGTACGTCCTATAAATAAACATATATTAGAATAGAAAGGCGTTTATTCAGAAACAACGCTATTTAGAATAATGACTTATTTCACAGCATAATATAAAATGGTTATAATTATACTATTATATCACTAAATACAGATAAAATACAATATCATACTTGCCTCTGTAAAATAATTCAGGTTGGTAGGGAGTAAAGTCCAAACACTGATATTCTGTGGCTCCATCAGGGGCTGGGCTAACAAGGGAAATATTATGTTTCAAGTATTTTAGTTTACTGGTTTACAAGGCACATTACAATAATTTTAAAATTTCTTAAAATGGTCAGCTTTGGTCCAAAAAAGTTTTTGGTTGACGAAAATTAATCGCTATGGAATCTATAACTTCGCTTTCGAAAGCTACGGAACGTTCTTAATATAAATATTTACATTAAAATAAAAACAATGATTATTTATTATTAAATTAATTATAGTATTATAGTATTATTATACTGTTATTAGGAATCCCAAGGCTAAAGTCGCTTTATTCCGCAAAACATCGTTCATAGTAAACAACTTTTTAAATAAGGGTTATTAATGAAAGTAATAAAACTTTTGACCTAGGGGCAGTCAGCAACCTTGGAGAGCATAAGGACATCCCTGTCTTCCAAGTTCCCGTCCATGCAGACTCCGTCCCAAGAAGTGGTTTACGATACTCTGGCGCAGCTGATGCAGGAGAGGAAGATCTACCAGACGTCCAGGGGGTTTTTCATAGTCACACCAGAGTAAGTTAACAAACATTATTCTGTCCTTATAAATTTAATGTTTGTGGTTGTAACTTGTACTCTTGCCTTGCCCGGCGTTCACCGCGGTGGTCTCGGATTAGAATCCCGGTAAAATAAAACGCAATTTGGGTATAAAACGCATTATGACAGTTATAATTTATTATTTGTGAACTGATCATATATTTTTTTCCGATTTATGGGTTCATAAGTCATTAAATTCGTCGTATCTTATTTGTGAAATCCACCAAATTATAATGCTTATGTTAGATATGTGTGCTACGAATGCGGGCTTTAAACAGAAACTTATCAAAAAAGTTCAGTGTTAAATTCTATTGTATTATTGAATATTACGACGTACTTTTCATCTATATTTTGAGGTAGTAGTTGCATAAAGCACCCAAATGCATTCATGATCGTTTTAAACTATATTTATCAAATACTTACTTCGAAAACTAAATTTTGGCCGTGCAAAAAAACGGATAGTTTTTTTTTTACATTGTGACCTTTACGATAAAAAAACTCACAAATTGTTAAAGTACTAACATTGGTTCAACAATTATTACGTAAGGTACAGTAATGTTCTGACATTGAGTCACCGCCTTATATACTTTTAAGTTACAATTTATCTTAAAAATATAATATAGATGGCCGAAGAAAACATATAAGATAAGATGTGAAATCAAGTATCCCCTCGTGGGGCGAACACGTTTCTGTGTCTGTTTTACTTACAGACAACTACTTTTTTAGATTTCTTTGCCCTATCAGGCCGAAACAATATTGTTTTCTCGGGATTCGAACCTATGACGTCTCGCTCTTAACGCAATGCAAGGCAATACGCTTAACCATGTGCAGAAAAGGAAGTCAAGATTAGATTAGGTATATCATTAATTTGTATGTCAGACACATTCACGAATAATTCCCCAGACTTACGCGAAACAAAACAGGCTACAATGATTCACCCCACCAAATATAGACATGGAGTCAGCTAAAGTGGAACATCACAAATTGGAACGCACTCTGTGTACGAATGACAGAACGTGCCAATTTTGGCGCCAAACTTGACATTTCGCATCCAAAATGGCCGGCAAAACGGTCCATTTGCATTTTATAGTTATTTTATGGGTTCATAAATAAAAGCTATTGTTATCTATATCATAATGCCATTTTAAGTTGAAAATATACAAAAACAATTACGAATCGATTTATCAATTTGATTCATACACGTATCTACTGTCTGTGGTTTACGCGAGTAGTACACATTTAGATAAAACACTTTAACGGTTTAAAAAGCGATATATACTAGTCAAAATTATTTTAACTACGGTCCGACTTTTGGTTTTTACTTTAACGTAAGAGACACTCTCCATCTTTAGCCGTGACCACGGCTGCTGCAAAGCATCCGAAACGTCAGGCCGTAGATAAAATAAATTTCTAATAATAAATGTCTGTAGTTTATATTTCAATTAAACTTGTTTGAAGGTTACGTGGTCTCTCCGTGACCACGGCTGCTGCAAAGCATCCAAAACGTCGGGCCGTAGTTAAAAATAAATTCAAAACAAGTTTAACTAAAATATATCTATATCGTGTTTTAAACAGTTAAAGTGTTTTATTACAAAAAATATTTTTATCTAAATACTTTTATTTTTATCTCATATGTTAACAAACAGTTTTGATAACTTTTTTTAAATAAAACCTCTTTGGCCGTGACTTAAGTGGAAATTTGCACAAACAAAACGTGTACATAACTTAAATTCAACTGAACGTGTGGTCTTCAGTAACCGGATTCTCCGCGGCGCTCATGTTTCATCAATTTTTTGTCGAACGTCACCTGTCTCCTATAGTTCATTGGAACGACGCTTTTAGTTTTGGTTAGGTACTTTTACGTTAAGTCTCTAAAAGCTGATGTACACATGAATGCATAAAAGAAAGTAAAAGGAACGAATGAAAGTAAATAAAAAGCCTACAAATTGTACATTTAAAAGCTCACGAGTATGTTTATTTGAATACTCTTCGACCATTTTTTAAATAAAACAGTTCAACTGTTTAAAACGCGATATACTTTAGTTAAACTAACAGCCATTTACGCCAAATAGCAACTGTTGCAGCGCAGATGGCGCTAGCGTAGCAATTTTTTCTTTGACGTCAGAGAAATCCTCTATCTTTAGTCTCCCCGTGACCATGATTGCTGCAAAGCATCCGAAACGTTGGGCCGTAGTTAAAAATGATTCTCAAAAAAGTTTAACTAAAATACATCGCGTTTTAAACCGTTACATTGTTTTATTTCAATGTGTACTACTCGCGTAAACTACAGACAGTATTTACTTTTCTTCAAGAACTTCAGGGCAGATTTATTTGAGATATCTTAATATCACATTAATGCAAAAAAAGAAAAATGTTTTCTTTATTATGTAGAAGTAAACTTTTGTTGGAATTTCAAGATTTTAAAATTGATAGCATGAGTGTCTGTTTATTAAGTATTGTGTGTACTTAACGCGAATCAGATCAGATTTTAGATTGAGAAAAATTTACGACACGGGCCGGACTTGAACCGCCACCAACTGTGTTCCGTGCTGAGAGCGCAGAGCAACACCACAACTGTGGATGCTGGTTCAAGTCCCGTCCGTGTCATTAATTATTTTTTAATCTAAAATCGATGTTTAATTCGTAAACACTGTTTTGTTTCAAAAGTACTGCTAAAAACTAGTTTCAAAATTTTATTATTTCACACACGTAATAAGGACATATCGATTACGCGCCAATTAACGGCGAACTAAAGAGGATGCGGCGACTGCTTTTTGTCGGGCAATAATATTATTTTTGTGAATACTTCGCGCCGACCGCGCTTAATGCAAATCATATTGTAATGGTGACATATTACGACAGGTTTTCGGGTTTATTTATTTAAAGAGTATGAAAGACATAATATTAACAATGTAAAGAGTTAAGCTTTGCATTTCCTATTTGGGGTAGGCACTACATACGTAAAACAAACAGTATGTGGTACTAAATAAAAGGTACTACGTCTGCGTAGAATAGTTATTTTAGGGATCTAAATGTGTATTAAATACTTCCACATCTTAATATTATAATCTAACTGTTGCTCACGACGCCGTCAGTTCGTTTGTTCGTTCGTTCTTACCACTAATCTTAAAAGATAGACATATACTGTTGGAAACATTTTTTTAGATCATTTAAAGAGGAATCATTCTTTCGCACATATTTTTTATCTTGAACCGTTTTCGTAGCAGTTTTCTGCCTATACGACGTATCGCGATGTTTTTATTATCTACTATATTTATATTATCTTTCTCGATAAATGTTCTAACCAAAATATGTTTTATTCCCACCGGTAGTTTCTAATTGCAGCGTTCAAACAAACAAACTCTTCTGCTTTATATATTGGTACAGTATATAGTCTAAAACAGGAAGAGAACATTTTAAAATTGAGGTACAATTAATTATTATAAAATAGGTAAATACTTTTTTATTTAGTATTTGTAAAAGTTTATTCAACTTTTATCAATTTATTTTCCATTTATTTTACATGTAATATAGATAGATAAATTATAGAAAATATATAATTTTTTCTCATTGAAATTTTTGTTATATATTTACTTTGTTTTCTATGGTTATTTTAAATAAATAATATTTGATTAATGGTTGCCGAATTATATTGGTTGTACACTTCACTCGGGATCCAAGGTCCGGAATCCGGATCCCGAGTCAGACGAAACGTTAGTCTACGGATTTAGAAAGTCTTAGCCCTCAGAAAGCACGTTATTTTATCGGAGTAGCTTATACTGAATAACGAAGCTTGAAACTAGTTGAAATAAATCTTATAGATAATAATAATTTACGTTACGGTTTCAGTTGACAGCGCATTTTGTTTAAATTTTACACGGCTGGGGTGTTTTACCTAGCACCTACCCTTGCTTGTCTGTCCTCCATGTTGTTACGAATAGGTATCAATAGGAATTTTCAACTTCAATTTCCACCAAACCACAATATAAATTCCTACTTTATTCGGAGACTATTTCGCGTATTGTAACTCTTAATTATATAAATATCAAATGTCTGTTAATATATTACATACTTATGTGAAAAGATATTTCTACAGATGAAATAAATTTCATAATTTCTTGTATTGTGCCATTGGACATTGTGTTAAAAGGTAATAAATATTGAAGATGTGGAAAACACTTAGCACCTACGTACTAACGACCTCATTTAACTTAACCTTGGCTTAACATTTGCTAAATATTTTTAAATTAATAGAACGGCCTTTAAACTGATTTGTATGGCAAATATATGAAGAATGGTTTATTGATGAATCTTAGAAATTAACTTAAATTATCATACGGTTGTATTTAACGCCTTCACGGCAATTAAGGTAAAGGTCAGATTTAATGCTATGCTGTATTTCAGTATCTTATTGTTCGATTTTGACATAATATATAAGTATTTAAAGATATGATAAAAATATATTATATTGTAATATTGACTATATGGCGTATGCAAAAAAACATCGTACAAAGTGCCAGAGGTCCTCAGTTCCATTTCTGGGAAAAACATAATAAATTGTCTCGATGGACATGTGCCTATTTTCTTCCATGTTGTAACAAAATATATAAAAAAGTGATTTGAATTTAAGAACTGATAATAAAATACAACTCGGAGTGCTATAATGTTATGTTAAATATTATATAAATAGCTGTGCACGCGGCTTCGTCCGCGAGAAATAGAAATTTCAGGGATAAGATCAGAATTATTATTTTTTACATTTTCATTAATTTTTCGGTCCAATTGATCGCAGCGTATTATATAGCATCTAAGACAATTATTTTTTAATTCAAACCAGCAGTTTCTCAGATTTGCCCGTGTAAACAAACTCTTCGGCTTAAAATATTTGTCTGAAGATTAAAAAATGAATGAATGTTTCAGACGCCGTCGTTCACGATCTCGTTCTTCTTCCCGGCATCACTCGACAGAGGACGACTGCAGTTCCCCTAGGACGATTCTCATGTCGGACCAGGAAGCTCTGCATCAGTTGTATGGAGAAATCACCACGGTGCGAGATGGTGCAGTCACGCACCAATGTGTCCAAACCAATTTGGCTGATGTCATCTGTGGAGGTAAGAATTTTCTTAATCTAACCTTATTAAACAAACAAACCTTTACAAGAGAGTTTTAATTCCTTTTTTAAAATGCACGATACTGTCTAATATTTTTAATTTAAATAAAACACTTTAACGGTTTAAAACGCGATATATTAGTTAAACTTATTTGAAAATTATTTTTAACTTCGGCCCGACGTTTCGGATGCTTTGCAGCAGCCGTGGTCACGAGGAGACATATCGCGTTAATATATCGCGATTTAAACCGTTAAAGTGTTTTATTTAAATGTGTACTACTCGCGTAAACTATAGACAGTATTTAATATTTTTAATTCAGGATTAGATGAAATCAGTTGATTACTATTAAAAATGTTATATTCTAGTTTTATATCTATTACTCAATATCGAAAATACTATCTTTCGATGATTATTTATTCTCAACAACTCCTCAACGATATAAGAGTTTAGTAAATAAAGCTTCAGCTAAATATATTATATATTAAACAAATAATAGATAAATAATCAATTCTCAAGGAAGGCTTATTGTTGGATTTTTCAAATTATTTCTCTCATTCTCTCTCTTTTTCGATGCATACAACAACTTTAGGGGGTACTTGTATCTTTTTTTACTTGTCCGCTTTCACTTTTTTTTAATTAGATACAGTCCGTACATCAGAAACATTTCCCCGTTTAAGTCGTTCATTTGACTCTCATTCGAATGGTATCATTGAATTGGTACCTTACGACTTTTCAGTGGAATCTTCATGAATGCTTAGCTCGTGTGAATAAGCGTTTTCGTGAATTATCAAATCGTATTACCTCTGACAATAGTCATTCTCTTAATGCAATAAAGGCCAAATTCGCTTGCACATGAATAATGTAGGCCAGGCCTGCACTCTGCAGTGGCCTGATTCGTGCCGCTTTGAACTAATACTTTTCAGTTGTTTCAGCTGAAAGAACCATTTTCGGTTGATTGTTTGTTCTACCAATTTCGCTTTTACGATCAGTTGCGAGTTGCATGTTTTGTTTTACAATTAGGATTGTTTTTATTACGTTTCACGTGACAAACTTGTGCTTTTCGTTCAGCTTAAACACTAAATAATTACGATACAAGTTAGATGTAAGTCCAACTTTGCATTCGGAATTGGTAGAATACTTTTTAAATTTACGTTATTTTTGGAAATTATGTCAATAATCTAGCTCCAAATTTTTGATATAACATAATTTATTACACTCATATTAGAAGTACGCTTCATAGTCTTAAGACAGTATTAATAATAAATAATACATACGCAAAATGCAAGAAAGTATGTATTTCCTCCTTTAAAACATCTTTTATGTGACTCTTTGTCTCATCAAAATTTTAATTAAACGTTTATATTATAGTAAGGACAACATTACAGGATTAATAGCAAATAATTTCCTTTCTCTTCTCTCTCATACTCAATCTGAGCAAATCTAATCTTCAATCCTAGATAAGTAGGGCAGTTCTCGGAACTGGAGATCGATATTCTTGTTCCTGTAAACACGACTTGTAATGAGTTACCATCTAGGGTAAGTGGTTCACCGCCAGACCGTTACCACGTCCTTATAAGCGACGCGGCACCGACATTGTATATGCTTATCTGAAGATGCGCTCAAATTTGGATCGAGAATATATCTGTCTGCGTTGGCATGGGAAAAGATCCGCTAAGGTTTAATTGCCTTATCGCAATTGGTAAAAGTACTAGTTCTATCTGCAAATTACGCACATAACATTTGAAACCTCGTTTCTCTGAGCACGGGGCGAACACATCTGTGTCTGTTTCTCTGCCATCGATTTCAAGACATCGTGTGGCTGATCCTGACCATTTTTTGTCCCCAGATTTTAACCCAGGACCCATCTTGCTTAACACTTACCCATACAAGTAGTAATGGCTAAGTGTCTAAGTCTCGGCCAAAAAATATCGAATCTTTCATTAGTACAATTCGAATCTTAGTACCTTACCGTTGAGTTACACCAATCTTCTAAGCATGTTATCCCACGCAATTCCACTCAAGAATACAATTCCGTGACTTTCGCATTTCACAGTGATATCTTGCGATTTTTAATACCTAACAATATAACGGAATGAGCAGAAATCATTGTTGGTTCCGTTGCATATTTCTCAATGCGGCTCTACAGATTACAGAATAAAGAAGACACCAATAGCGTTTTAAAGTGAGGCAATAATGACTACGCTAGAATGGAGCAATTCGTTAAAGAATTAGTATGTAGATAATCGATGTTTCTGTATCGTATATCCATGTAAATAATCATCTTTTTTAATAGCTATTTGCTAAATACCTATTTCTACGCTATAAGAGATCGTCCATCACCACTCCATGCTTGATAGTGTTTTGGACACCAATGACGTTTTCACTGCAGACATGCTCTACTGGTTAATTCAATATTCTGTGTACTGCCCGTTAGGTTTTAAGACAATTTAAAGTCACGAACCCGTGTGACCGTGGTCACCTTTGCCGGAAACTCGAGACCAATGTCGCTTTGATACCGATGTTTGCTCTTGTTCTTTGACACACCTATTATTCATGGATCTTGTATGCACGATTAATATTAACCAACCCAAAAGCTTTATCTTTCAGTGTGCCACAGGGCTCAATATTAGGACCCTTATTATTTCCTCTGTATATTAGCAACATTAAAGATATTAACTATAATATATTGTCTTGTAAGACGACACAATAAATAAACTACTTTACATTGGTCGTTCAATTGAAACAGTCATTAAAGATGTTAAACACGATCTTGGCCGTAGTTATTGATTAAAATCAAAATTTGTAAGTATATCAAAAACCTATTTAATTTTATACTACCGGGCAAATTGTCACTTCAGTATTTGCATCGTCCTAAGAAATTTCATGGTACAAGCCCAAAGTTTGGAGTTTGGAATATGTGGTAAATTATTTTCTAATTCACAGCCAAACTTTTATATCAAAAACAACAATTAAATGTAACAGCTTATTCTAGATGAAGATTTCGAGTTAAAATTGCTATGCAATCCTAATGCAAATACAAAATATCTTATTATATTAAATTAAATTGAAAACGGCGCCAGCGATCTTAAAGAAATTAATCAGAAAACGCTATCATAGATCCGGGAAAAGCTAATAATTATGTTGACATTCAATAATTGAAACGAATTATTTACATTTAATTAGAAAATAAAACAGATTGTACAAGAAAACACTTATAATACTCGCAATTCAAAGCACGCGAGTATTTTGTTTGTTTAGTCTTTCTAATAAGTGCGAATGAAAAGTAAAATATTTATTGATTAAATCTCCTCGCCAATTAAATCTTTTACAACGACGTTTCGAAAATAAGTGTAATACATTTCGCGTTTTAAACCGTCAACATAGTTTAATTTAAATTTGTACTACTCGCGTAAACTACAGACCATAGGTACTTTACTAGTCCATTTTGTTTTCGGGCACCAAACATGATGTTAACTGCTTATTGTGACCTCAAAACAATTAATATTGACATAAGATTAACACATGGTGTGAGTGAAGTCACAAGCAGAAACTAGTACACAACAATTCCTTTAAATCCCTTCAATTAGAGCAGCCTTCCAAGGCCGCCGTAAAACCTTAATAGGCATATAAAAATAACATCTAATTGCTTTGAAATAAGGCCTAAACTAAATGGCTCGTTCAAAAGCCGGTTCGGTAACTGCAGGAAACATTAATCAGTCTTACACCATATTTGCAGTAAATCTCTTGTCAAGGCGATATAGGCTTTAAATCCTGGTAATATAGGTTATGATTGACAGCTCCAGATAACGATCTGATAGTACGAATGGATTATAAGATATTGATACTTTGATGTGGCGATAGTTGGTGACATCTTTTATCGGAAATTGTTAGTAGGATTTTTACACTAATATTTTATACATGAATGAATAATTTGATATCGATCTATTTAATGCTGAATGTTAAACAAAGATTGTATAGTACCTATAGTAGTTTTTGATCCAAATATTATAACCCAAAAAAACACAACCCAATCTTGGCTATTTCCTACATAATAATTATTATATACGTATGCGAAATCTAACCTCACACAAACGTTTATAAAATATAGGTTTTGACACACTTTATTTACGACTGAAATATTTAAAAAATCCAAGTCACATATATTTAAGACGTTCATAAAGCAGTTTCGCTTATAACTAAAACAATGTTTATAAATCATAAGATTAAATATCAATAATATGTACTAAATATCGGTACACAAACATAAGTCTAAAACGTGTCTCAATCTTGATTATCTATTAGCAACAATGTTAATCAATTAAGCTTAATCTGTGACAAGAAATAAATGAATATCGCATAATCTGTGTTCTCTGTAATCAATGGCTCGTTTAATGGCGGTTATCTGGTAATGACATGTCATTACTGTCAAATAGTAGGTGACAGTGACAGTATGGAAAGTGAAGAGGCTTTCCTGTCAACACTTTCAATGAGAAAATGGTCCGACGATGAGCGGATTTCAATATCAACGTCGTTGGTAAATTGTTTTCTCTTATGTGATTTATGAAAGGGAAATTAATAATTACGTATAGCATTTACTTTTCATAAAGGCTGTGTTCTTTTATTTCATTATTATTATTTTATACATAATATGATGGTAAATAATTGTTTAAGAGCTGTGATTTGTTTTTCTGCGTATTAATGTTATGTTTATCTTAACTTTTTAATTAAAAAAATCTATTTAGATAAAAAAAACACGGGCGCGACCTGAACCTGAGCATCCACAGAGTTCCGCGTTGCTGCTCCAACCAATTGAGCTACCGCGTCTACTACACCTCATCGTCGAATTTTATCAATACGAATCTTAACACGTACGTTACGTATTCTTCGTAGTTTCTAATTCTTCTTCTTAATATAGTCAGTAGCTAAATTGTCTCATATTGAAAGTTCTTACTTAAAAAAATAAGGCAAACCATCACAACTTATTTTTAGATAATGTTGTG